ATGAATAAATGTCGAACAACTGTCTATATATCCATATGATGCTCTTATAAATTACGGATGATATTTAATATTTATTGGATGGATATTTAATGGATGGGCCATTACACTTAACAAAAGTCTATTCTGTATATGGGCCTCCACCACAGATTGATACATATATGGGATTTGCCTGCCTCTTTGGTCTAGTGGTTGTAGTAGTGCGACTGCTGATCACGAGGTCCTGGGTTCGAATCCTGGGTCGGGCCAAAAATAATTATTGAGTTTTTCCGTCAAGAAATTCTCAGTAGTTGCCCGGAGTCAGGAAGTTGGCGGTGTTTAACCCCCGTGCCTCGGAAAGCACGAAAAGCCGTTGGTCCTGCACCTGATCTCTCTCCGGTCATGTCGGTTTACCGTTCCATTGGATTATGAGAGTGAGGGCATAGAGAGTGCACCTGTGCTTGTTTATACACTTTGGCACTATAATCCTGTCCTGCGCTGATGGCTAGTCTCCGTTGAGAGTGGCCGCCGTGGTCGAAATTTGGTCTGGAGGATATTATTATTATTGCCATAGTTGCCACGTTTGGTATGCGGGTTGGCAAACGCAGTTATTATTATTATTTTCAGTTGTTATCAGGAAGGACCTGCTGCCCATCTCGTGTTTAGGTTTCCCTCCGTCGCCTCTTACGGCACCCACGTGTCGATATAGAGTAATAGATTTTCTTACACCGCCACTACACGGTAAATATAATATTTAATATACCGAAGCCAAATATCATAAACTATAATTGACCAATATCACAAGAGCCGGCATTGTGCTCATCGACTGTCTATTCGGGATACAAATTGTTTAATTTGTGAAAATTTTACATTTTATTACTGTTAGACTGAATTATGTCTGGTTGGGTTTTAGAAGTATAATACAAATGAAGATAATCAATGATCTAATTGCCAATTTAAATCGAACAATTTTTATGTTAACCTATTCCTGGTTTTTCTTAATAGTTAAATAAAAATAAGGAATAGAAAAATTTCCTTGTATTTCGTTTGTATGAAATTGAAGAAAAATCTCTTTGGTTGTACTATTTGTATCTGGCTGGTTTTGGTATCAATACATATAGGACAATAAGAAAAATAAAAATAAATAGTAAAAACTCTTTCCCGTCATTTTGCAATTCTTTTTGTATCCACCAAAACAAGTGAACCTAACGAAGAAATGTATCTAACAATCAGAAGTTTTATTACAAAAATGGGAAAAATGCGAATCGAGCCGCGAAAAAAATAAAAATGCTCGATAATTAGGTACCACACGAGCTTCCTGAAAGAAACTTAATGAGTCGTGTACTCATTTGCGATTCTCTATTGAAACGTAATGAATCCGAACCATTTTTGAAAAGATTGATTACTGATGATGAAAAGTGGATGACTTACGATAAGAACGTGCGAAAAAGATCATGGTCAAAGGGTAGTCAAGCTACACAGGCTGTAGCGAAACCACTATTGACACATATTTTTTATTGGAAATGTATCGTTTATTATGAGCTTTTACCTTCGGGCAAAACCGATCGACATGGTATACGACCCCGAATAAAATATTATTTTATCGATTATCGAAAATATCATATTATTTTATCGATTCGGATCTCTACAGCCAAGAGCTAATGAGAGTCGAGCATGAAATTGAGAAAAACAGGAATTGATCGACAGAAAAGGAGTGGTCTTTCGTCGTGATACACACAGACCACACACATATTTGGCCACTCAGCACAAATTGGGAGAGCTCGGTTGGGAAGTGTCAATGCATCCACCTCCTGTCTTTGCACCCTCGGATTTTCACTTGCTATGGTCAGAGTTCTTTTGTTTAGCATTTTCTTTAGGTTAAAATCACTACTGTTAGTACTACTTGTCGCATTTTTTTGTTTTAAAATCTCAAGATTTCTACAGAAACGAGAATTTGTCACTACCTGGAGGTAGAGACATATTCTCGTCGACGAGACGGCAATAAGCTATTGAACAAAATGGCAGAGATATATAAGTATTGTAATTAAATGTAATTACACTTTGAAAAAAAAAGTCTTGAATTTGTAGTACATTTATAATATTTTAGAGATATCGAAGAAACTTTTTACCCGACCTTGTATTTATAACAGTTGGTTTAACAAATGCTCGCCACTATTGCAGTATTATTACAAAAAGTTACCACCTGTTCACATACATTACGTTTGATGTTTATTTGAAATGAATGAATCCTGACTTACGGCAACACTGCGCACTAAAATATTTTTCCTGTCACAAGCTTGTTTTTTTTAATATTATAATGCCCAGCTTTTCACTCCGCGGTGTTACCGGCGTCCAAGTTCTAACGTCAGTCTGTTATGAACCACGCCTGTTTTGAGATCGCATAATACAGAAAACTCAAGCTGTCTCATACTTAAGGCAGATAATGATTGTACAATTTAAATAAAAATATTGCTTCATCCGAGAGATATTTGCCATAGTTGCCACGCGTGTTGTCAACCGCAGTTTTTCATGATTTTGAGTTGTCAAAAAGATGCTACTGCCCTCTCCAGTTTTAGTTTTATCTATCGCGTCTTACGACACCCAAATGATATTATAATCCCAACACAGTGGATTCCAAGTTTATGGAGATAGGTTTTACATTTGAATAAAGAAAAAATCTTAAAATAAAATAAAAAAATGTGAATTTTATTATTTTATTTTAAGATTTATATTATATTAATTTATTTCATCTTTCGTACTTTCATAAAAACTAGTTATTTTCTTCTATTTTTCTAAAAAACGTTAGGTTTTTCTCGTAACCGTGGGGGCATAGTTTACATAGTTACATACATAAACTTCACAAAGACAAATCTTCAGATCCAGAACAGTTATTTGTAGGCCTGACAAATACCGTGCAGGGTTCGGACTTGTTCTAAGTCATTGCATCTTTGAGCCCTCGAACTGTAATATATAGGATATCCCCTTCCCCTTTCAGGGGTGAATTTTCCAAAATTTATTCAAAATGGATAGCTATGCCTGAAAAAGCAGCTACTATCCAAATGTTAAATTTCTACGTCTAGCTTTTAGGATAGTGCGTCATAAAATATTTTTTCATACAAAAATCTCTCCCTTGTTTTAAAATTCTAAAGGTATTTCGAAAAAATAAATAATGAATATTATGTTATATTAATTCAAAAGTATATGCACTAATTTTATTTAAAAAAAAAACATTGTGTATTTTTTCTAAATTCATTCATTTTATTTATAGCGTACCTTGAGTAAGTTTCTAGTCATTCGCCCTTAAAATAAAAAGTTTTATAGAAATTATCTGGTGGTTCACCAGGTTTTTAAAATCCTCTCTTAGTAAATGCCTTCATCTTTGAAAAATATATATCAGAAAGAAGGAAATTAAGCAGCAAGAAGGTAGTAGATAGTAATAACACATTACTTTTTTAGAACAAACAAACAGAGAAATACACCTGTTGGTGTTACGTATAATATAGAAACAGATCATAGAAAGATAGAGTTAACAGAAAATTTATCAGTATTAATTACGATTCTCAACTAAATTTATCGGTTTGGTTAGATATCAAAATAAGTATTTTTTTTAATTCTTTTTTGGAATTATTATTTTTACAACAGAATGAACATTAAGACGAGATTTAATATGGGATTGCTCTAAATAAAATGAAAATTTCATGCAATTACCATTAATGAAATATATTCAAAAACACTTTGTCTTTAATTTACTAAATGTGTTACACCCTTACTATTCCAGTCTGTCAAAAGTTCCACTGCTAAACATATCTGTTCAATTGCGGGAATTGGGGGAATATTTGCTATAGTTGCCACGTTTCGTAGGTGACTTATCCAACGCATTTTTTTAAAATCCCTGCTTTTTTTTATAGAATAGGGTGACAAACGAGCACACAGTCCACCTGATGGTAAGTGGTTGCTGCGGCCCATAGACATCTACATCTATCCTCCATTAAAAATCAAAATGCAGATGCGTTGTCACCCGTAAGGACTGAGATGGAATGCCTCGTTTCCAGTAAAAAGGGTCTCCGGTTCTCTACACTCACCATACGAAATACAGCAGGATTAAGCTACTATTTCGCGCTGGTATTCTGTGAGAGCGTGGTCCTTCCCCAGTCGAGCTGACACATTCGTGCTACAACTGTACTACTAATATAACTGCAGCATGGCTCTACCACGTAAAAATTATTTATTTTATTTCTCTCTATCGCCTCTTACAGTTTTGTGAATATTATTATACCGCCACTACACGGTCTCTATTTACTCAATTTTAATCAGGTGGCAAGGATATTATCTACCTTAATCATTTATACTAACATTCAAAAATTTCCGGTTTTTAGATTAGGGGAGCGAGGGGCTTGTTGTAACAGTTTTCATTAAAACTAATATATCTTGAGATCTATTGATTAAATTTCTACTAAATAAAGATGAATGGATACTGTAACTCTTCCTCTACCAAATCAAGTAAAAATAAAAACATAACTATTGGTCATTATTTTACAATCAATTATTTTCCAGAAGAAGTGCGGTGTTACAACTTACCTCGTGCTTGGGGCAAGTTGTAACGTCCACCGGGGCAAGTAGTAACGACAAAAATGACAATAATACCTCTAATCATTTATTCTATGTTTATTTTTAACAACATTGACATCTTTCTTAGGTAAGTAATATGTAATTCTTATCAAAAATCAACTCAAATACACCTTTTTAGTACTCAACACTTAAAAATTAAGTAATTAACAGTTTCATTTAGTTAAACACCTCTTATAATCATCATTGCACTTTTAAATCATAGTAAGTAATTAAATTATTTATATCTAAGGTATACTTCGTAATTATCTCTTCTTAATAGCTATCTAACAAAGTATTATACTTATGTAGGAATCAACATTTTGTGGGTTTCATTATAATTAAATTCAGTCTTCATCTGAGCTACAATTAATACAAATAAAAGATATAATGTCTCCTGTAACACATCCTACATGTGCTTACATCTTACAAATGATACACTCTATCCAGTCTTCTTTATTTGTATCTGTGTAAGCTTCAACACATACCAGAAAATACCACTCTTCTGATTCAGATTCTGAATCTGAACATAAAATCTTCTTTTTAGCTCTGCCCACTCCGATTTTATTATTTGTTGATTTACCTTTGGCTTTTCCCTTCTCCTTCCCCCTTCCTTTCCCTTTTCCTTTAATTTTATCATCTTTTCTCTGTTTTTTCTTCATTTTTTCTTCACATTCCTTTTCAGAAGTGTCCGTCAATACTATAGATTTTCTTTTGCGTCTGCTATTTGTATTAGTTTTTCTTGGTGGCGCCTTTGGTAAAGGTCTAATCTTCGACGGCGAGATAGTTTTTTGTAGACTTTCATTATTCTTCTTTTTGTCTATGTATCTATAAAGAGAGACGTGACATAATCTGAAAGTCTGACTAGCTTTCCGAATACTGCATTTTTTTTAAAACTTCAGCTGCCGCTAACTCATACACTTCTTGGCTTTGTGTTGACCGCTCTGACTTTCTTTAATACACCCTCATTCTTAGACAAAGGAAAAAAGTAGGTATCTACATCATAACTTGGGCTGGCAGTTACAACAAGCCCCGGGATTTTGTTACAACTAACCCTATGGTATGATTTTTAACATTTATCAGGATAACTATTTAAACAATAGCAACATAAAAACTGTTACACATTATCAGAGATAGATAAATTTTAATGATATAGAAAATTTAAAATTAGTCGATATCAAAAACGCAAACCAAAATTTTACGACAGTACAATTTTATATTACCTGGCAGAAATGAAGCGCGTGCACACTTCCGCTCACTGCGCGTGCCGGTGGGACACTGGCTAGGGTAACATGATGCGGCGCGGTATATAGGTCAAATCTAGTCAAAGAAATACGTTAATAGCGTTTAAGATCCTAGTGGAAAGAGCCTGTTACTACTTACCCCTGTTACAACAAGCCCCTCGCTCCTCTACAGAAATAATAAGAATTAAATAATGAATTAATATGTTTTCGCCTACTAACGACACATTATTTTAATATAAGTAGGTATTTTTTTAGAAATAAAAATAAGAATTCAAAATGAAACATGATGTGAAATATTGGCAATATCTTATTTCACAGGAGCAGGTGCGTCTCATCGAAAGCAAACGGGTTATTTTAAATCCCATGTCGCATGAAACAAGCAAACAAATCGATTGCGCTGAGAGCGCCCATAACCCACAGAATTATACAAGTTTTAATTAGTTTAGAATTTTTCTTAAAAAACGCTATGAATATTAAAAGCGGCCGATTAATTTAGTGCGGCCCGAGCCGCCCGCCCGTGCTTCGTTCGACGCAATTAAACCCCCAAAACTGAACTAGCATAGCGTTATTAATATTGGGAAGCAACTGGCGCCTTCGGCTGTTAAGAAAAAAGAAATTCGAAATTTATACGTCAATAAGAGTTTGTTGGGCATTATCGTAAAACGTGTGTAGCATTTAATAGTGGGTACAAGGCGAGCCGCTCCTATTAGTGTGTGAGTTATATGGCAGTTGTATTTCGGTTGTCGGCCCGCTCGCGGTCTGGAGACTCACTCGCCTTTAAGTTGCTGGCGTGATGGGAACCGTCTCACGGTTGACCTCATCATGGCTGCATCAGATAATTGGCTGTAACGCTCTTTTCGTTCTTAGGATATTTTTTAATTTTCACATAACGCAACTGAATTTTATGGATAGTCATTTAAGGTAAATATCAATGTGTGTATAATTTACGCGGTAGAGCCAAACTTATACTATATTATGGTTGTAGCACGAATGGGTCAGTTCGACTGGAGAATGATCTCGCAATCCACAATACCAGCGTAAAATAGCCGCTCAATGTTGCTATGGTTGTATGGTGAGTACGTTGAGTGTAGAGAACCGGAAACCCTTTTTCATCTTAGTCCTCAGAGGTTACAAGGCATCTCCATTTTTATTCTTAATCGAGATGTAGATGTTTATGGACCACAGCATCTACTTACCATCACGTGGACCGTGTGCTTGTTAGTCACATTGGTGTCACCCTTGTTATTTAAAAAAGTGCTGTCTAACAAAAATATTAGATTATGATGCGTTCATGGCGTGAGATAACTCAAATAAATGATTAATTTAAAATTTCAAAGAACACGAGCGTTCGTTTCCCGCCGGCATCTGTGAAAGTTTAGATTTCCCAAAAGTTTTAAAACAAACGTAAATTAAAACATAAATTTTTTTCACTCATGCACACTATGATATAGTTGGTATTTTAGTATTAGTATTATTCACCAAGAAATAAGTTTACTAAAATAATGACAAGTTAACGGGAAAGAAAATATGTTAAGGTTTTGATAAGAATTTTAAGGAGCTTAGAATGAGATAGTCGTTGAAGTCTTTTACAGGCAAATCATGTAAGTTAAAAAGATTTTTGTTTGCTTCATAATGATTTTTCGGATGCGGATTTTTAACGTAATGGTAGTATAGCTAAGTCTTAAGCTGTGACGTTGCTTGCCTTTTAAAAATAATTTATTCGGAGTTGTTTGCCCATGTACATACTGGTAAAAGTCTTCAAATAAAAAAAAATCAAAGAAGAAATTAAAAGTAAATATATTTCCTTCTGGTTAATTTTCAGAGCAACGATTAACTAGGCTGAATATTCTAAGAAGACTAAATAATTCGTCCGTTGTATAATGTTATTATTCGAATCTATTGACCTTGAACTCTTCGTGGGATTATTATTTGTACTTTGGAAAGTCGGATGCATTTCAATTTCATTTCAGACCTGGAAAAATTAGCTTGTCTTTTTGATTCAATTTTGACTTCAGCGGGGATTTAACCAAGGATAACCGACGTAGTTAAATGTAAGTCACGTGATCGTTACAATAACAATAATATTTAGATTAGGACTTCTCCTTCTAGATTTCTTCAGCTCTACTACTCATCATCAGCATTCATCTTTTCATCAGCGTACTGCTATCCACTGCTGGACATGAGCCTCTTCCGCTTACGGAGGATTTTATGGAGGATTAAAGTTGTGGGAGGTGACTATGGGATATGTCAGAAGAATCTTACAGCTCCACAGACAGACGGTGGTATAACCACTTCGCTTACGTCAGACATAAAATACCCAGACCAGTGAAATGTCTGTTTTTTTATAGAATAAGAGTGACAAACGAGCATACATTCCACCTGATGATAAGTAGATATATATATTGATTAAAACTACTTTTACGGATTTTATCGCGTTTTATTTATATTAATTTTAATACCCGACGTTTCGGGTGCTTTCCAGCACCCATGGTCACGGGGGACTGAGGTGACTGACGTCCCGATGTCAAAGTTAACCCGGAGTACCTTCAGCTTTTTTAATTATTGTCTTTGGTCCGATCTACGCAGAATGAACTAACTGTATTTTGAAGTCTTGCAGTGGTATGCTTGGGTTTAGTTTTAATTTTATTAATTATAGGATCCCAAGCAGGTGGTAGTACCCAGCCTCCTTCTCTATTGAAATTAGGATGTTTTTTAATTTCAATAGCCTCACGTATCATCCTTGGTAGGAATCGATGTTTTTTCGCGAGGATTTGTGGTCTATCAAATCTGATGTAATGGTTGGGGCCATCTAGAATATGATCGCAAACTGCAGACTTCCCGGAACGTTGATCTGGTTGAGGTGGATCCTATAATTAATAAAATTAAAACTAAACCCAAGCATACCACTGCAAGACTTCAAAATACAGTTAGTTCATTCTGCGTAGATCGGACCAAAGACAATAATTAAAAAGCTGAAGGTACTCCGGGTCAACTTTGACATCGGGACGTCAGTCACCTCAGTCCCCCGTGACCATGGGTGCTGGAAAGCACCCGAAACGTCGGGTATTTAAATTAGTATAAATAAAACGCGATAAAATCCGTAAAAGTAGTTTTAATCAATGTATAGTGTTCGCGTAAATATAAGAAATCATTAGATATATATACATCTACATCTATCCTCGATTAAGAATCAAACCGTAGGTAGATGCGTTGTCACCCGTGAAGACTAAGATGGAATGCCTCTTATCCAGTAAAAAAGGTTCTCCGGATCTCTACATTCACGAAATACGAAACACAGAAGCTGCTATTTTACGCTGGTATTCTGTGAGAGCGTGATCTTTCCTCGGTTGAGCCGGTGTCCATTTTATTTTGCGCCCGAAGCAATTAAGGGCAACCCTCCGGTAACGGGGGAGGGAGGTGGAGAATACTCATAGCATACCACGTGGACTTACTTATGTGGAGACTTTTACCCACTAAACTCCACCTTTAGGGATTGGCTTACTGATCTGACAAGAGATCTTCAAGCCGTAAACGGACGCGACCCTCCTTGGCAGAAAGGTGGGCGCAGCCGGTGCATATTCGTGCTACAACCTTTATATAGCTATAGCGTGGCTCTACCACGTGTAATTGTTTGGTACTACGATTGTCAATACGCCTGCAAATCTGAAATGCTTAAAGTTGATTTTTCACTTTTCACTAAATTACATTAGTAAGAGACAGGTATAGAGATAAATAATACTTAAGTAAGCCTAGGCCGATAGGGATTAGAATAGATTATATTTCCATTACTATGGAAATGTATACATAACTTGAAAATATTTGTGCAATACTTGATTTAACCATGGAGAGTTATGAGTAATGATTCTAGGGACAAGAGTAACTTTTGACACTGCGCTGTTCAGTCTGTTTCTATAGTAATTATGGTATTTTTCGATTGTTATAAACCATTACTTGATTTCTATCATACATGATGGCTAAGACTTAGTTAACAAATGCCTATTCAAAAACTTGAAGACACAATGTAATCGGATGAAAAGATTCCAACAATGTCTAACTCTAAGTCTCAGTTGCAAGAGTGGCTGAGAGAAAAAAAATACTTAGAAGAAACCTGGATTAAACTAGTTTCATATGTGTTGGTCATGATGGTAAGTGGTTGCTGCGGCCCATAGATATCTACATCTATCTTCCATTACGAGAGTGAGGACTGAGATGGAATGCCTCATTTCAGTAAAAAGGGTCTGGTTTCACCTCCATCGAAATATAGCAGATTAAGTACTATCGCTCCCCTGAGCCGACCCATTCGTGCTACAACTATACTATTAATATAACTGCAGCATGGCTCTACCACGTAAAATGTTGTGTTTATTAAAAAAAAATTACCATCGGTTTATAAAATCGATGAAATGCTAAGACAACACAACTCCTCTTGGCTTGCCTCCGTATCATTGCGACTTAAACCTGGCAAATTAATTCACGACCAAGCAAACTACTGGGTTCGGATATAATGGTGTGGCAACAACAACGGTTTGAAGACTGACCCAGCGTCTTCTTGCCCGATGGTGGAAAGAAGATGAAGGAATGATGTCATGCTATTCCTGCGCATACTTAATTAAAAAGAAACAGTTAAAGTAAAATGTAATGTAGTTAACTTTTAGCTTTAGAAGCTTTTATAGTTTCTTCAGTTTCATGGCTTGCTTTGTAATTGCGTCAAATTAAATTCAGAATTGAAGCAACTGTTGATCATAATGTTTTAATGATCAATAGTATATCTGCAGTTTGGTGATAGGGTCTTAACCTATCTAATCTTCATCACTACGTAATCCCATTTCCTTCCAAAGACGTGCAATATGTCGGAGGCATACAAGATAAAGTATCTAGTAACACATTCTACTGGAAACTAGGCATTCTATCTTAATGCTCTATGGTGAAAACGCAGCTGCGTTGTGATTCTTAATTGAGGATTCATTTATCATCGGTTACCATTAAAAAAGCGGAATAAACATAAAGTTAACTTTTTATATAGGAGGGGGCAAACGAGCATGCGGCGGACCTGATGGTAAGTGATTACCGCTGCCCATGAACAACTGCAAGACCAGAGGAATTGCAGATGAGTAGCCAGCCTTTTAAAAAGGAATAGGCTCTTTTATTTAAGGTCCCTAAGTAGTATCGGTCCGGAAAAATCGCTGGTGGTAGTTGATTCCACAAAGAAGTTGTGCGAGGAAGAAAACTTCTTTTAAATCGCACAATGGTATACCGCCAGTCATCCAGGTAGTATGGACGGTATCGCGAGTTTTGTCGCAATGAGCGGTTGTGAAATTGTGTGGCTGGAATTAATCCGAACAATTCCTTAGAGCACTCCCCGTGGTAGATGCGGTAAAATACGCAAAGAGATGCAACAAATCTTCGCAGTGCCAGTGAGTCAAGCCGATCGGACAGAGCTTGGTCGCCGACGTTTTTAACTGCTCTGCGTTGGATGTGATCAAATGGAAGGAGCTGGCACTGGGAAGCCTCAGCCCAGAGATGGTAACAGTATTCAGTGCCTTGTAAAGTTGCAAGCGGTGAATTGGCATGAAATACTGTCCCGCTCTGCTGAGCACGCCAAGCTTTTTACAGGCCAATTTGGCCCTCTCTCCAATATGTCGACGCCGAGGATTCCGATACTGGCTAAGGCAACAAAGGGAGTGTCTTGAAACTGAAGAGATATGACGAAGGGGTTCTTTTTAGCGGTGCGCAAAATGATGTCTTCTGGGGATTAAACTGAACTAGATTTAGTCGACCCCAGTCCGAGGTTTCGTTCAACAAAGTCTCGAAAGAAAAGAAATAA